GGACGTTGGAGGTGGATGGAGGGACGCTGGAGGTGGACGGAGGGATGACGGAGGTGGACGGAGGGACAATAAAAGAACATTTTGAAGTTCATTTCCTGGAAGATTTCCTGATATTTTCACCGCATGAAATATGAATTTATCTGTTAACTGTAAAAAACAAAACAACAATTTAAAAAATCTGTATTTTTATAAACAGCTGTTTATTTAGTGTCCTCATGAAACTACTTTTTTAAAATGTAAAACAAAAACAAACTTTACAGATATTTATCATTATTTTATTTAAATATTAATAAACTAGGGATCGGAAATTTGTAAATATTATTTTTTACTATTATTTTTTTCTTTTAGGTTTTCACAGTTTTCTGAAGTTAAAGATAATTTCTAATAAAATTTTTAAAAAATATTAAGTTAAATGTTGACAAAAAAAGACCCAAAAACCTGCAAATAATCACCAAAAATCAGGATATTACAGCTTTACTGTGCTTAAATCAGCTTTATGTAGTTTCTCAGAGTCCATCCTCGTTACCCATCAGCCACTGGGCCCAGCCGCCGTCAGAACCACGCCGCCGTCGGTGCCCGTGGAGCGTTGCATTCACTGCGCCTCATCGTGCGTGGTCTCAGCGGGCGGGCGCTACGTGCACACGTACGGCTTCCTGCGGCCACGTGGCGGCTGCATGGCGGAGGCGCTGCTTCACCGCACACGCTCGCCGACTTCAGCTCGCATCACCAACCGCGTCCCACTTCAGAGCGGCTGGAACCAGAAAAAGAAATCAGGGTTTGGTTTGTTGCGTAACCCAAAGTGGGTCGATCGCTCCTCGTTTTTATTTTTCCTGCTCCCTAAACTGAAAGGCGTTTAGCGGCACAAAGAACGCGTCCCGGCCTCCGAGGCTTTAGGAGGAACAAACGCTGCTGCTTCTTCTGCAGCTTTTCTTTCTTTCTTTTTTTTAACGCTCCGTCTCTTTACGACTTCAAAGGTGCCGTTAAGCTTTATTATTCATTTATTTCTCTGGTGTTTGGGGCCTGATAAAGACCGATGGGGAGGAGGAGGAGGAGGAGGAGGGATGTCCGTCCAATTACTTTTATCTCAAATAGGAGCTTTTCTGCAGCGTCGCTTTAATATGCAGGAGACGGATTCCTGACACGTGAAGGCTCGTTGATCAAACCACAAAACGCTCAGTTTACTGGCTCCATGGACGACGAGGAGCTGATGGTCCAGACAGACAACCTGATTCTGTTCACAGGAGACGAGAACCTGACAGTCTGGACACTTAAAGCTGCATTACAGGTCATTCCATATAAAAACGTTCCATCTCAGAACCTCCTCAGAACATCTGGTTCTGCATCTGCAGAACCTTCATCTACTGACCAGAGTTCTACCTTCAGACTGTGAATGTTCCAGAGGTCCAGGTCCTTGAAGTCCACAGAGGAGGGTCCAGATTGATCACTTTAATGGACTTTTTCCATCATTTCTGAGCCTCAGAACTTCATCAGTACAGCAGATAGACACATGACATTTAGGAGGAAGAACACATCTGGGTTCTGCTAGAACCTGACACCAGATCAGTTCTACATTCATCCAGGTCTGAACACTGGACCTGGTTTCTGTTCAGCACCATTTTTTCCTATAATGGACAATTGAGTGATTTTGAAGAATCTGAAATCATTTTGGACAATTATTGAGTCATTTTAAGTCCATTTTTTGTCATTTTAGATCATTTTAATGTCATTCTGAGCAGATTTTCAGTCAATTTGGATAATTTCTGAGTCATTTTGGTAATTTCTTTTGTAATTTTGGATCATTTTTAGTCATTTTGGACAAATTGAGTCACCTTGCATAACAATTGAGTCATTTTAGATGAATTTTTGTGTGATTTTAAACAAATTTTCTGCATTTTCTGATAATTAACAACAATTTTAGAGTGAAACACACATCTGGGTTCTGCTAGAACCTGACACCAGATCAGTTCTACGTCCATCCAGGAGTCTCAGTCTGAACACCGGACCACTGGACAAACACTAATTTGGGACATTTTTGTGTCGTTTTGGACGATTTCATGTAGTTCTGAACTTTTTTTTTTTTGAGTCATTTTTAACAGTTTTTGACAAAAAGTCCATTAAAGTGATCAGTCTGGATCCTCCTCTGTGGATTTCAAGGACCTGGACCTCTGGAACATTCACAGTCTGAAGGTAGAACTCTGCAGACACAGAACCAGCTGGTTCTGGTCGGCCTCCTTGATCGCTAAACGCTCATCAGTCGAGCCCAAACCTCCGTAAAGAGAAGCCCGTCGGTGTGATTCTGACCGACAGCAGCTCTCCCGGCCTGAGAGGTGCTTTATAGTTCTTCATTATATTTAATAGTTATAGTTAATTAATCAGACTTCATGGTCGATGTGTTTCATTAAACGTTTATTTGTACTAAAGCAGAATGTTGGACGTGATGGAAACAACGACAACTTTGACTTCATATCCTAAAATGTGTTTTTCCTCTCTTGTGCTTTTGACTAAGTTCCTTTAGTTTGGACTTAATGTCACTGAATTGTGGTTTATTATCACATGAAGCTTCACCGTTGATCCGTTTCCTGACACAGACGGTTCCTATAACCCTCTTATTTATTAGGATAATTCCTGCTCATGCTTTGGTTCAGTGGTTGTTTTATTCTCACTCTGCTGAAGCAACGACCCGGATGTCGCCCGACCCACTGCTTGCTTCGGTTCTGACTCGATTGTCGTTGCTGTGTTCCTGCATCGTGGTGTTTCTGCTTCGCTCATCCATCACTGTGGGTCTGAATCACAGCGTTTCCTCCCATCGGCCTGTAAATCTGGAATCTGTGCTGCTGAACGTTGCTGTGGCGTTTTTAAGGCGTTTGCATGAGCTGGTTGCTGTCGCTCCGTCCGTTCAGAACACCTCCTGGGTTCTGGTTTGTCTCTGACCTGAGCGGTGTCGTCCTCTCTCTCACCAGCCCGTCCAGGGGTTCGACTACGCCAAGAAGCACATGGGCCGGACCGGCGACGAGGCCGTCTCCGTCACCAAGGAGACGCTGGTGCTGGGGCTCCCCGTCCGAGACGCTCCTCTGTCGATGTCGCTGGACAAGAAGGTCCACCAGGACGGCACCGGCGGCAAGAGGCCTCCGTCTGCCGACCTGCACAAGGGAGGGTGAGACATCTTTGTTCGTTAGTGGGAGCAGCTCACTGTTAATTAATCTGAGTTTAGACGGTTACGCACTATATATATAAATATATATACACACAATATAAATCAGAACAACAGATGAATGAATTGCATTTGGGTTTATTGACAAGTTCGGTTTGTTGCTTCCAGCTGTTTTGAGTTATTTCCTGTTTGTTTCTTTATTGAACAGCTGCAGCGTCAGACAGAGAACGATACGACTGTGTTCAAAAAGTGCAAACAGAGTGACAATAACAGCAAATATCTGTAAAATATTCATATTTTTAGCTCATTTTAAGACAGTAAAACACTTTGATTCAAGAGTCAAACATAAAAAATAAGCAGTAAATACAGTTTTGGACAGCCAACATGTAAATAAATAAATAAATAAATAAATAAATAAATACTGTATATTAGTGATTTTGATTAATTTTATCTGTAATTTCACAAAAATAAAATAAAATCTGTGAAAACAATAATATACAATTTTTTCAGTGCTTAATATAAAAAAAAAAATTATTTGATTTTTTTATTCATTTTTAAAAATGTATTTTATTTCTTTTCTTTTCTTTTCTTTTCTTTTCTTTCTTTCTTTTTTTTTTTACAAAAAAAAGTACAAAAAAAAAATTCTTTTCAGATTTAAATACAGTAAAAATGTGTTTTTTTCCAGCCACACATTTTAATGAATTAAAATACAACACTTACTGTTTAGATAGTTAGATTTTTGTAAATTGTAAAATGTAAATTCATACATTTTTTTCAGTGATTTTTTATTATTTTTTTAATTTAACAAAACAGGGAAAAGCCTATAAATTAAAAGTAAATAATTCAAATAAATATGGTTCAAAACTGTCCATAAAACTTTATTTACAATCAGTTTATTTACAGAATAACACAATTCTAGATAAATTATCAATGGTGATGTTTTGTTTTGCTGATTTGTCAAAGAAAACAACAAACAGTCTGATGATTGGTCCAAAGCTTTATGTAGAAGGGTTAGGAGTTAGGGTTCTTACAGACTTCAGCGTTTTGTTCAGCCCTAAACTGGGTTCACTCTAAAACCAGGACATTTAGAACTTTATGGTTGTTCTGCTGGCGTCAGCACGGCTCCATGGTTCATCAGATCCCAGCGGCAGTTGTTCTCAGGTCCAGAACCGAGCCAGCGAGCCGCTCAGACAAACACAGAGTTCTCCAGCAGCTGCTTCGGTCGCAGAACAAGCCGGCGACAAACCCCGAGATCCTCGGCAAAGTCCGGACATCCGTGTTTGCTCGAGCGGAGCCCAGAGTAAGCAGCGAAGCCTCCGACAGACTGACTCGATCCGGGGATAAGTCCGGTGTTAGCGGGAGGCTGTTTGGAGACACGAGGCGAGAAAACACCTCGACTCAGAGCCCAGAGCGAGCTGCCTGGTGTGAGGAGGTTTAGGGTTGTGAGGCTGGAACCAAACGACACAAGAGCAAATAAGCACATTTCATGACACGGTTTCTGTGATTTCAGACAAGAAATAAATGGAAAAGCCTCTGATTTAGTGATGAACAGGAGCTAATGAGCAGATAGCAACACATTCTACTGCAGGTCTGACACCAGAGACGAAGCACATCACCTGGTCATTACAAGTCGGCTGCATTAAAATCAGATGAAGACGAGAAGCCGCTCCAGCAGCGGCGCAATTAGCAACTCGTTAAGAAGCATAAATGAAACACATGCGACACAATCATCAGACTTAGTGAGCTGATGGGAGGGAAAAGAGCAGTTTGAGCTAAAAAGTGTCCTTAAATGTGAATACGCAGCAGAATCTTCACCTTGTTGAACGGACATCTCATCCACCTGAACCACATCAGCCATGAAGGTTCTGTTTGCTTTTGCATTGTTTCTAATTTATTTTATGAATTATTTGTCTAACTTTGCTTTACACTGTTTAAATTTGGTGTGTTTTTCCAAAATCTGGTGAAAAAATGTCAACTTTGATGCACTTTTTGTGCCAAAAACAACAATTACATGAGCTGAAGGTGCGAATTGAACCAAAGATTTTTGTTGCAGACTTGAATTCTGCAGCAAAGAATATTCACATGATTAGTTTTTACCTTTTCCTTTTGCAATAACTTTCAAACTTGAACTTGGTTTCTAGTTGTTAAATGGTGCTGCCTTAGAATAATCGCTCCTGATGCTTTATCTTTTACTGTTTTAGGTGTTAAATGTTTAATTCTAGATCTTAAATATTAAACATTTATCTCGTTATCCGTGCGATACGTCTGCTGATCTCAGTTTAAAACTTGAGCGTTGCATAAATACAGAAGTTTTTAAGAATGTCTAGTTACAGAATGAAACTTCACGAGGACAAAACATCAATTATAACGTGATTAAATTACAACTTTAGCTCTAAAAAAGTTGCAGGAAAGCGAGTTAGAGTGAACTCCGATGACCTCTCTGTGTCCAGGTTGTTTCAGCAGCACCAACCCAGAGGGAGCCGTTTAAATCCAGGGCGGCTAAAGTTCACTTTTGGACGAACAGTTTTCTTGACATTTCCAGTAAAGGACAGAAAACCGTGTCCTCTCATTAGCAGAAATTACCCGAGCTGGATGTTCTCCACCCTGCTCACTAATGAATGTCAAGGCTCGGCTCCACAGGACACAGTTTTTATGAGTCACAAAGTTTCGTTGCTGCTGAATTCTGCACTCGTGACTTGTAGCTGCTGAAAGACCGGTGCATTCATTAGGTAGCAGAACGACGTCTGGGCTTCAGATGAGACCAAACTGATGCACCTCTGACTCTGAGTTTTGAAGAGAAGATTAAACGAGGGAATGTTGCTGCAGCGTGATGTGAGAAGCCCGTTTTGGGAGGTTCAACGCAGCTGCTTTGACTTCGATGGTTCTTCATTCAGATGCAAAAGTTTCAAAAACACTCCTGCACACTTTCTAACTTGCAGAATGCATCAACTTGAGGAACCAAATGCTTCGTCTGTGGCTGGGACTGGGAGCAGGTGTCTAAAGTTTCAGGCCGATCGGAGCTCATACAGGCCAGTTACTCACCACGTCTCGTTTTATTTCCGGTGATCGCCATTTCCACGCCGTCAGACTTTGGCAGACCGTTTTAATAACGTGTAATCACCACCTCCTGTAGTTTGTGCTGGCCAAAGTACAGGTGTGTACGACCTTCCCTGTGAGAGGAGGTAGATTTTGAAAATGGCCAAAAATTAGCGAAAATCGCTAAAATTCTCAAAGTTTTTTCAAAATGGCGGACTTCCTGTTGGGTTTAGGGCTTGGCTCTGATTTACTTTTTTGTGCGTCCTGACCTGCTACACATGCCCACCAAATTTCGTGGGTCTAGGTGAAACGGCCTTCTGACGGGACTCCTTCGAATGCCGGAAACACAGTGGAAATGTGCAAAATGGCCTTTCATTGAAATTGCGTCGGCTGCCATTTCCACGCCGTCAGACTTTTGCTGACTTTTTAATAACTTTCAATCCCCACGTCCTGTAGCTTGTGCTGGCCAAATTTCAGGTGTGTACGACGTTCCCCCTAGGAGAAGATAGATTGTGAAAATGGCCAAAAATGAGCGAAAATCGTCGGGCATGCTCGCTATTTTTTCAAAATGGCGGATTTCTTGTTGGGTTTTGGAAACGCACACGTACGGCCCATTTCAGCGCCGCTTCCTGTTCAATGGCAAGCCGAGGCGGCCGAATTTCNTTTTTTTTTTTTTTTTTTTCCTTTTTCTTTTTTTAAGCTAAAAAGTTTAAATAAAATCCAGTTACTGTAGATAAAGAATCAGCTGATTCTGAGGGTGTCGAGAGTCAGCAGATGGAGAAAAAACAAATTTCCTCACCTCCAGGTCATCTCTACAATCTACAGGATCTTAGCCAAGCTTCATCCTTCATCAATGTTTTGATACCAGAACACACAGAAATGTGTGTTCTTGCAGGGTTTGCTGGATCACCTTAAACATTTATAGGTTGTGTCTCCTTCAGGACTCAGAAAACAGACAGTGATTAGAGGAAACAGTCTTTAGTTGTGACTTGTTGAATTCTGCAGGTGTCTCAAACCAAAAAATGTTTGAAACAAGCTGTGATTTTAGACACAAATCAAGTTTTTCTTTGCATCTCATGTTGTATCTCTTCAGGTGGAACAACAACATGTGTTCAGCTCGTGAAGCATTTTTAATCTTCCTCGTTATTATTATTTTAATATTCAGTCAATGTTCTTTTTTAAAATTTCCCGTTGAAGCCGACAGCGCGAGGTGATGCCCTGTACATGTACCCGCTCACTCGCCTCTCTCCCATCTCTCTCTCTCTCTCTCTCTCTCTCTCCCTCTGTTGCCATGGTGACCGCAGCCGGTTGCCAAGCGAGGAGGACGGCTCGGTGTCGAGCAACGGCTCCGGGAAGCTGAACACCAGCAAGAGCTCGTCGGCCCGAAGGACGGCGACCGGCAGCAGCAAGAACGGGAAGGAGGAGCTGCAACGGAGGAACGGTGAGGAGGAGGAGGAGGAGGAAGGAGGAAGGAAGGAAGGAAGGGAGGAAGGATATAGGATCGATGGAAGGATATAGGTTGGAAGGAAGGATGAATGAAAGGATGAAGGATACAGGATGGAAGGAAGGAAGGAAGGAAGAATGAAAGGATGAAAGGATGAAGGATATAGGATGGATGGATGTAAGGAAGGAAGGAAGGAAGGAAGGATGAAGGATATAGGAAGGAAGGAAGGAAGGAAGGAAGGAAGGATACAGGTTAGAAGGAAGGAAGGATGAAGGATATAGGATGGATGGATGGATGGATGGAAGGAAGGAAGGATGAAGGATACAGGAAGGAAGGAAGGAAGGAAGGTTATAGGTTAGAAGGAAGGAAGGATGAATGGAAGGAAGGTTATAGGTTTGAAGGAAGGAAGGATGAATGGAAGAATGAAGGATATAGGATGGAAGGAAGGAAGGAAGAATGAATGAAAGGATGAAGGATATAGGATGGATGGAAGGAAGGAAGGAAGGAAGGAAGGAAGGAAGGAAGGATGAAGGATATAGGAAGGAAGGAAGGAAGGAAGGAAGGAAGGATATAGGTTAGAAGGAAGGAAGGATGAAGGATATAGGAAGGAAGGAAGGAAGGTTATAGGTTAGAAGGAAGGAAGGATGAATGGAAGGATGAAGGATATAGGAAGTAAGGAAGGAAGGAAGGAAGGAAGGATGTAGGATGGATGAAGGATGAAGGTTTAAGACTACGTCTGACATACACAGTGACTCTTAGTCGGGGTGTTTCTGACTCTGGCCGTGGAGTTTCCATCCCTGATGCTGAACTAACGAAGTGATGCAGACNAAGTTCAGAGAGACTATGGAGAAGGACTTTCAGTTGACCTCGAGGAAGTTCTGGCAGATCGTTCAACGCCTCAGGCAGGGAGGCCGGGCTGTGGGGGAGTGACATGTCCAAGTCTCTTAAAATGTCAAATGTTTCACCAGTCCTGATGTGCGTGGTGATGTTGGTGAGCGTTTAGACCCTCAAAAATGTGTTTGTTTTCGGCTGAAGAGTGATAATAAAACTCAGAGCACTTCCAGTAGGGTCCTTCTTTGTCCTCAGATTACTGGAAAGACATGCAGATCTGACAGGAGCTGGGTGGAGTCTGGTGGAGGTTTCTAGATGTTTGCACCATCGTTTGTTTGTTTCTCCCAAAAGAAACAGATGTTTTGCTAAAGTCCTGATCAGATTCATTCAGAGACATTGAGGTGAACACAAACTCCAGAGGATCCGACTTATTAACGGCATCCTTCATCGTGTTTCTGTGATAATGTCGGATCACAAAGCAGAACGATGAACAGAACTGCTGCTAATCTTCATGTTTTATGCAGCTTGTTTCTATTTTGGCGTTTTATTCCAAACACAGTATTTTTGTCTGTTGCTGTTCACCGTTTCCAGCTCTAATCGTTATCGTCTCCTCGCTGTGCGTGAGCGATGAACATGATTTACATCTGCCGGAGTCGCAGGGTTTAAACGTGAGATTCCAACCAGGACTACGAGTTTAAACAGCTTTTTTTTTTTGTGGCGTTTCTTCGCTACGAGCTGCAGTCACAAACGAGATGCCACCTCTCACATAAATGCAAATGCAGCCAAGACAGAGAACGAATCGAGGTGGATTAGTTGTGCTTCTCCAGGATGATAAGCACACGTGTATTTATAACCGCATTCTGTGCAACAATGGCGTCGGCGTGAAGTGCCGGAGGAGCCGCCGTAATCTGCTTTACCGACCCGGACGTATACGTCTTATAGGGAGCTGTTTCTTAAAAAAGTGTTGTGGAGGTTACTCCACCGCCCGGCCGCGCACTAATTACACCCTCTATTCTCCGAGCGTGAATGGATTTCACAGCGAGACGACAACAAAGGATGCAGATATTGTTGTGCGGCGTCAGGAACAGCTGGCGCCGTTAATCACCGGGCGAAAGGTAGATAAGACGAGAAAATCGCTGCTGGCAGTAAAGACCGGGACGAGAAGGCGACACTAAAGCACCCGGGCGGCTTCTCTGCACAGGATTTATTGGACGCTCGGTAGTTCACCGTAAGGTTTCGGACGTTTATTGTGTCGTCGCTGACAGGCGGAGAGTTGCGCCGCGGCCATCTTGACATCTGGTAAACGGCCCTTTGTTCGGCTGTTAGCGGGAAGTTGGTTTGAATGCAGCGACAGAGGACACACAGAGGAGGAGGAGTCTGCAGATGTCTTTGCAGGACCTTTTAGAGCCTATTTTAGGAGGTTTTTGGGGTCGAAAGAAGCAAATGCTCGGGTTCGGTACTTCTGAGCGACCCTGAGACCTGCAGCACTGTTCTACCTGCAGGAGGAAGAGTGAAGGGCTTCCTCGCCTATTTTGACTGGTTTTCATCCGTCTGTAGCTTAACTAGTACCCTGCAAACATGAAGCTTTTATGTACACAGCCAAAACTTTCTTGAAACTTTCTCTGAGACACACATATCTCCATAAAAGTCCTTTCTTCTTATTATTATTATCAGCCAACAGTAGGAACAACTGGAACCTTTCAGTGGTAAAAACAACGATGAACGCGCTGTTGTAGTTACGTGCCGATCACATTTTTATTTATTTTTTTGCGTCCAGTTCGATCTCACTCATTTAATACTTGGTCTTTGCAGATAAATACAACACATCCAACAGTTTTCTAGATGACACACACTTAAAGGACACGAAAGTTCTGCAAAGGATTCAGAGAAAAAATGCATTCGTGCCTTGAACAGCCAAGTATCATTCAGGCCATCTGGACTCTGTTTTTGTTGTCGTTATTTTGGCTGTAAAAGAATCATAAATCCTACTATGAGTGGTTGCTTTTGCCCCTTTTTCCTCTCCAGCCACAATGGTCGGGGAGTTACCGTAACATGAAGCCCACATGGTATAATGCAGGTGGAGCTGCTGTTCTTGCCAGACAGCAGTAACTTGTCAGTGCGTTGTGCTGCCGTAATGCATCGAACATCCCCGTAAAGCCTGTCTTCTCTTCTTTCAGAAACCATTTGGATTTTCTCTCTAGCACAAACAGTTACGGAGTTGCTGTAATTTAAAGACCACTTGTAAAATGGAAGCAGCAGCATTCTGATGGTGTTCCGTCGGTGTTGAGGAACCTCCTCCTCTGACTCTGGGCATGTTGACTCTTAAGCTCCAAGTCATTAAGTGTACGTATGGGCTGACACTGATTCCCAATCTGAAACCATTTTTCTCTAGATAACACACATTTCACGTACATTAAAGGTATTAAAATCAGTCCAGTGTACATGCTTAGAAAGTATCTCTGTAATGGATAAAAAAACAAAGACATATCTGCCTCCAGTCCGTTCCTTAATGTTCTGGAGATGTTCGTGAACCTTGTGGAACCCTGTCTACATGTAGTGTTAGAAGGTAGGAAACCTGCATTCTCTATGTCAGTAAACATATCATGGACCAGCTGTAGTACCTGGTTGTTCCACCAGGTGGAGCCTCTTCCTGTTTAATCCTGTAGAGACCAGAGGAGGCGTCACTCAGACGACAGCTAATGGTGGCAGCAGAGAGCATTGTGGGAGTTTAGCAGCAACGGGACCATGACAGAGACTCTGAGGAGGTTCAGGACCTCCGACTGGAGCGGGTTGTAGCGCTAACGCCCAATTATTCATGAACACAAAAAAATATATATGAGAAAATAGCACCTAAGTATAAAATTACTGGAAGATCTTTTGTAATAAAGTTTGTTTGCTCATAGAACAAACAGCCTCTGCAGTTGTAGTAAAAAGGTTTTTATTTGGCTTTAAAATATCACCAACTACATTTTAAATTCAGCCTCATGTTTCAGTTTCATTCCTGACTGGCGTCATTTTGGTGTTTATGACTCTTAAACATCACGTCACCTCCAGAAACCAAGTCAGACGCAGTGAAAAGAGCAAAGTCCGGATTCGCTTTATAGAAAATTTCTAATCTTAACAGAAGTAACTGGAGTTCCAAAACAAACAACCTCGTTCCACCCAGTCATCAGAATTCAAACACATTTTCTCATCTTTTTTTTTTTTTGCGATTATCAGAAAATAAGAACAATTTTCATGCTAATTTGCCTGCAAAAGTTTGTTATTAACACATTTGTTTTCCCGGAACAGTGAAATAGTTGCAGTCAGTGTAAACCTCCGTCCTCTGAAGACTTTACACGAGAGATGTGATCACGTTCTGCTTCATTTTCATTTTCAGCGCGTCTGTTTGTTGACAACAACCCAGCAGGGATTATCTTCTGACTCTTGGTTGAGAGAGGAGTTAGCTGGATGCTAACCTGGATGCTAGCCTGGATGCTAACCAGGGCCGCCTCATGTCTGCTGCTGCTGAACTCAGACTGTATTTCTGCCGGCGGCTCTTTGCTGAACAGCTCCTGACTTTCGGCGGTCGTCCGTCGGCGTGTCGATGTCGTTTCTGTAACGTTCGCTGCAGCTCAGAACCACCTGTAGGTTGTCACGTTGTGTAGCTGCTGCTGCTGCTTACAGGCCTGCAGGCGGTGTGTGTTCATGTGTGTGTTCATGTTGTTTACATGCCGTGTGTGGTTCTTAGTGTGTGTGTGTGTGTGTGTGTGTGTGTGTGTGTGTGTCTGTGTGTGTGTGCAGCATCACGCGACGAAATGCTATTCGTGTCGTCATGCGTGTTCACGCTTCGGTTTGTCGGCTGCCCTCGAGTCAAGTGTGTGTGTGTAATTGTGTAATTGTATTATTCATGTTGTGAGAACATAAATGTGTTCACGTCCTCTCGGGGGCGAATATCAGGCTCACGTATCGCAACGCGTTCAGACTCGCGTTCAAGGTCGAGTCTGTTCGTTGTCATTTCCACATAGACTCTAAAAAAACCAACAGAACTGTTTTTAACTGTGATGTCTGGAACAAGTTACTGTTGTTTTACAGATTTGTGTTAAATTA